AATGTAGAAATCCACATCTTCTCCCCCCATCTATGGGTTAATTAGTAAGACTTGTATCACTAAACCATTGTCATTTATAAAATAAAATTAGAATTTAAAAATATTTTCTGGCTTTAAATAACCTGCAAAAGGCTGATAAGCCGTAGAAAATGTGTTGTTCAAGGAAATACTTATTAGCTACAGTCCTGTGTTTTAGATTTATTTAACCCTAGAACACTAAGCATCAATTAAAGTTACACCACTACGAACCATGGGTATATCATAACCGATTTTGAAATGAGTAAGGATAAGAATAGGATTTTTAAGTGACCTGGGGGAAGGGAGAAGAAGACGATACATACTTTTCCTAAAGATATTAACACATAAGTGAATGTAATAGATTCGACTGAATTCGAAATCGGCTCCCCGATTCCTTAATCCGAGCTGCTATCCATTACTCCACCGCCGGGATGTATTTTGGGGCAAGAGAGAAAAAAAATCATTCAGAATGTTTAAAAGAATAGGCCAAAGTATAAAACATTTGGATATTTTTTACACACTCCATATTCAGAAAAGAAAGAAAAAACATCATAAAAACAATTTTTTAAAAAAAAAGCAGTCATATTTAAAGAAACTTACAAAAAGAGGGACTGCTTCAGTCCATTTGAATCAGACGATTAAGAGTTTTTTGTAGGATATAATGAGATTTGTACTTAAATAAATAGAGTATAATTGGCATAGATGAAATGAAATAAGAAAGAATTTAGAAAATCCTGAGATAGACACAGAGAAGTTTATGTTTTTAATGGTTGACGTTGAAATGACAATGGCTTTAAATATATGTCTTTAAAACTGACCCCAGTCAGTAGAACAGTAATTAGACATGTAATAGTTTTTTTTAATCATTCCAAAGCAAGCAATGCAACAAAGATGCTAAGATGTGAAGAATATACGAAAAAACGGAAACAAATACGTTAATAACCCTAGAACACTAAGCATCAATTAAAGTTACACCATTACTAACCATGGGTATATCATAAACGACTTTGAAAATATCAAAAAATATTAAATATAAATCTTCATTTGAAATATTTTACATGCAGGCACTTCAAACTTTGTACTTTGATTTAACATTAATACGAAATGAAAAACCTACTATTTAGTTAAGAAAATAAGGTACTGTAAATTGTAATTAAAAATAGGAAAATTTGCGCTGGGTACTATGGGTACCCATGGTTAGTGTCTAGGGTTAAATTATCCGGAATATAAATGTATAGAAACTATCATGGCCACAAAGTGAGGGATCACTTTATATATTGATTTTAATATAGAATAGATGCCCTACTTTGTATCCATATTATAATTTCTTGTTTGTTTTTCAAATTAGGTAAGAATCCATCTCTTCTCCTCCAGCCTAGGGTTAATTAGTAAGACTTGTATCGCTAAACCATTATTATTTCTAAGAAAAACATTTGCAATCTAAACATATTTTCTAGCTTTAAATAACCGACAAATGGCCTATAATCTGCAGAAAATGAATTAATCAATGCTATACAGGCATGTCATTTAGATTTATTTACTTTATCTGGAATATAAATATTTCTTTCATCTCGCACAATTGATTCATCATAGCCATTTTAAGAATAACCTCTCTTGGAAGACTTTGCCATTTTTTATTGAGTGAACTTTGTGTATCCATCAGTTAGAAGCAAATATTATATTTTAAGGCTAGTGGTTTATCACAGTTCTTCATGAGCGCATGCAATTGGTTCTCATCAAAATGCACAGGTCGGTCAGAATGCGCAGGGTTCTAACTCCAGCCTCACCTTGAAAGGGAGAAATCCTTTGTGTCATTCCGTAGGTAATGAATTTATCTCCGCATACAGCACAAATGCCCCGGGCAGCTTTGTGATCTTGATTAAAAGCAAATAGGTCAAACATGCTAATTCTTGTCTTCTTGGACTTCCCATCCGAAAGGAGATGTGGGGGGGAGGGTCTAATCTGAAATCATATTTCAATAACGTTTCGCAACTGATGCTACGAAAGATTATTCTTCGAGATCATTCGTAGAAATTAAGAAGAAAAACGAATGAATTTATATAACAACTTAATAAATACTTCAATTATGTATTCAAGCTGAGATAATCCAAAGTGATGTACATAGAGAGGGGAAAACTGAATAGTGTTTACGTCATCCTGCTATTTGTATGAATCTATCTATCTATCTATCTATCTATCTATCTATCTATCTATCTATCTATCTATCTATCTATCTAAATTGTTTTCATAATACGTAAGAAAACAATTTAGATAGATAGATAGATAGATAGATAGATAGATAGATAGATAGATAGATAGATAGATATGAATAGACTGAAAGATGGATAGATAGAGGGAAATTGAGACGTTATGAATACACTGAAAAATAGGTGGATAGATGGAATAGTCAATCACAGATAGATAGATAGATAGATAGATAGATAGATAGATAGATAGATAGATAGATAGATAGATAGATGTGCATAGATAGTGAAAAAACTGAATAGTGTTACGTCATCCTGCTATTTGAATGAAGTACTTTCATAATTCGTATGAAAAGTTTTCGATAGATAGATAGATAGATAGATAGATAGATAGATAGATAGATAGATAGAAATTGAGATAGGTAATGAATATGAATACACTAAAAATACGTAGATAGAAGGAATAGTCAATCACAGATAGATAGATAGATAGATAGATAGATAGATAGATAGATAGATAGAAACCCATTTAGATAGATAGATAGATATAATTAACACTCAGCTAGATAGATAGATAGATAGATAGATAGATAGATAGATAGATAGATAGATAGATGTGCATAGAGAGTGAAAAGTGAGAGTGTTACGTCATCCTGCTATTTGAATGAAGTACTTTCATAATTCATATGAAAAAATTTAGATAGATAGATAGATAGATAGATAGATAGATAGATAGATAGATAGATAGATAGATAGATAGATAGATGGAAATTGAGACGGTATGAATACACTGAAAAACACGTAGATAGATGGAATAGTCAATCACAGATAGATAGATAGATAGATAGATAGATAGATAGATAGATAGATAGATAGATGAGGAAAAGACATAGATAGATAGATAGATAGATAGATAGATAGATAGATAGATAGATAGATAGATAGATAGATAGATATGCATAGAGAGTGAAAAACTGAATAGTGTTACATCATCTTGCTATTTAAATGAAGTACTTTTATAATTCGTATGAAAAGATTTGGATAGATAGAATGAACACGCACAGAGAAAGATAGATATAATTAACAATCAGATAGACTGATCGATAGATAAATTGAACACCCATATCAATATAATTAATACTCAGATAGGGAGATAGATAGAATTAAAACTCATATAGATAGATACATTGAACACTCACATCGATAGATAGTAAAATATCTTCTAGTGCCAGGTTATTAGGAAATATTAATAAAGGTAATTCTATTAAAAACGTAAAATGTTTAAACAGTTGGCGAAACCTGTACGTGTGTCTCTCTATTTGGGAGAAAACATTCAACTTGCTATTGTGACTGTTTTTTATATTTTTACTTATTTATTTATTATTTTTTTTCTTTTTAAGAAAACGTATTACCCCTTGTCGTGACCCCTTTCTTTCCCACTCCACCCATTCGTCTGCACTGGTAGCTTCTTCTTGTCTGACATAATGGCCTGCAAGAAATCAGTCAATTAGACCACAAACGATTCTCACTGGCACATGATTACATTTCCCAGAAAATCTTTCATCTGCTTTGATAAACGCAGCTGCTTTTCTCCATGTTTGCGAGTTTTAAAACTTTTTAAAGTTTTGCGTCAACTTTTCTGTATTTTGAATCCGTCTCCAGATGAAAAATGATTTTATATATATATATATATATTTTATAATTATGGAGGGACTTAGGGAGACAGCCTTGTTTTCTTTATTATTTAAAAAAAAATCAGCGGAATTGTCATGAACCAGCCTAGACAATCGTCTGTCTTATTAAAGAAAATGTGCCTGACGAAAGAGATCTAGCCTTGCGTCCGCTTCATCATTGAAAACCAGGCTTAACTGCACGCGCACGCATGCGCACACACACACACATATATATATATATATATATATATATAGGGTGGTCCAAAAATAGGTGGACTATATGTGGAATAGGTTTATAAATGGATTGGCCGAAGAGGTCCAATTGATTGGCCGGCATGTTCACCAGACTTGGCCCCAATGGATTTCTACTTTTGGGGAGTACTCAAGGACAGAGTTTATAGTCGAAAACCAAGAAATGTCGGTTATTTGAAAAATTACCTACGAGATGCATTTCAAGAAATTAATACCCAAAAAGACTTGTGCAAAAAAGTTTGTCGAAACGTTAGAGGTAGTCTTCAAAACTGTGTAAATTGTGATGGAAAACAGTTTGAGCACCTGCGTTGATAAAATTTAAGTGCTTTTGTATTATTGTTCACAATAAAATTTAATTGTCAATATAATAATTGTTATTAAATATAATTGTATGTATATGTAATCTCAAAATAAATGAAATTATTTACTGTCCATCTACTTTTGGACCACCTTGCATATATATATATATATATATATATATATATATATATATATATATATATATATATAAAATGTCAATAAAGTTCGTTTGCACTTTTTAAAAATTTAAATTTAAAGTGCACACAAACTTTATGGACACCATATATATATATATATATATATATATATATATATATATATATATATATATAATAAAAATACTAATCCGCGTCGAATTTCCAAGAGGATACAGATCCAAGGAGAGCTCTATGTCAGAGACAGCGCAAAATTATTAATTAATGAATATCAAATACTTAAAATATCATAGGTAATAATGTTTATTTCATGAAAGCAATAAAAATAGCCTTCAATCCTTCAAGCCTGCAAACCAAATGTAATCGTCAGCTTTCATTCAAAATGTACAAATATCGTATTAAGGAAGAGTGAGAAAGAGAAAAAGAAGGAAAGATTCAAATTTATGAACATGCAATGGGGGCGGAAGTAGGAGAGAAAAATGGGGAAGAAGACTCGACGATTTATTCTCCGTAGACTTTAAGGTTTGAAGTCACTTGATGTAATATGACATATGCTACAATGCAGTATTTTGATTTAAAGTTGGCAGTTAAGAAACACTGTGTCACAACTTATATAGATACACACTAGCAGCATGGCCCGGCGTTGCCCTTGCTTGATTAAAAAATCGTACGACTCATACAGCAATCGCTATCACTTGACATAAAATATTTTTCCCTTTCCTTGCCTTTAAAGGAGTGCCCTTTGCTATGCTGATGTTGCTACATGCCTTACTTCTTGCCTATCTCCCACTGGGAATTTTTTCTAAGCTCTATACTAAACATTAAATCTGTTACGAAAAAGAACTAAACAAAATGAACACAAAACGATCAGCTTTAAAAAAAGGACTCGTAACTGGAAAAACCGAATGAAAAAAGAATGTTAACTACAAATACTTTTTCACACCCAACCCAATTCTGCGGAATCAGAATCAACGTTGAGTTTAAGCAAGCGAATGAGCCAATTGGAGTAAAGTGCCATGCAGATTTAAATTTTTCCCTCTTGTGACGAATGCCGCTATCGATTTTTTTGCATGCTAGCATGCTAGTTAACATTCGTGTCTGTCAGCTGTTGGCTCTCACGCTGGTCAATATAATCTTCCTGCCTATTCGTGGCAGCCAGCTATAGGCTCTCATTCTGGCCAGTAGAAAATGGCCGCAAACTACATGAAAACTGCCGTAGAAGCATGAAAAAATCGATTATTTCCACTATCGATGAGAATTGGGAAATGCAAAGTCGGTCTTGTAGATTTTGGTGCAAATCCGTCGAAAACTGTGGCCGTGCATTCGTTACACACACACACACACACACACTGCTTTTTAAATATATATATATATATATATATATATATATATGCGAACACACACTACAGTTCAAAAGTTTGAAGCTACTCCCAGAATTAGCATGGGATGAATTTGACAGAAGAGTGAAAAAAAGAAAAATGAAAATTGCTTTGAGAGTCATTTAAATAAGAATGGAATCAATTACCAAACTTATACTTTGAGAAAGTTTTTTTTTTCCAAAAGTTTGTGTTGCAGTAATCAAGGCTAAAGGATGACATTTTGACGAGATCAAAATTTCATAATAAAATGCTTTTTTTTTCTTTTTGTCATAATAAAAATTCTAACAAAATCATGCCTCGCTATTTTTAATAATGTATAATAATTTCTACTTATGTAAAGTACAAAACAAATACTTTTGGGGACATTTTAAAAAATACCAGACCTCAAACTTTTCACAGCTGTAATATTGGAGGAATGGAGACTTTTATCATACAGTCTCAGTTACGGTAGAGTGGTCATGTCTTGAGAATGTCTGATGACAGGATAACCAAGATCCTAATATACAGCCAGTTAGATCAGGGCTACAGGAATGTAGGACGCCCATGGCTAAGATACAAAGACAAGCTGAAAAGCAACTTCTCAGCAGTCAATATACCAAATAACACCCTTGAACGCGTAGCCTTGGAGCGGGTAGAATGGAGATCATAGTGTTTTAGTGGACACAGCAATCTTCAATCTGCTTGTCTGAACCATCTTCAAGAAACGAGAGCAAGATCTAAAACGTCAGCCAATCTAACAATGATCTCATCTCACAATCCTCACAATCCTTTGTAAATCACTAGCGAGTCTTAAATGCCACTTAAGATTATCGCACAAAATTTCATAACTGAATCAAGTAAGCTGCCAGTTTCTCATACGTCGAAACCGACGGAAGAGTCCATTATTCCATTATATATATATATATATATATATATATATATATATATATATATATATATATATGTATGTATGTATGTATGTATACACTGAGGTTAACATCAATCCTTATCTAATTATACACACACTTCTTCCAACCACCCAACCAGCATCAATAAGAAAGTTAGAGATAATGACGATAAATAAACTCATTCCTTTCCTCAATACAAAAAATATGCGAATAAACGGTTTCTTCCTTCTCCTAGTTACTTTAAATAAAATATACTAAACAACGAAAAAAAGATCAAGAATTGCATGAATAAAATAAAAAATGAATTACCAATTCAGAGATAAATAACCTAAACCTATTAACATAAACAGTTCATCCCAACTAGTAGAAATATTCCATGAATATAAATAAACCTTAGAATTAGTCCATAACAAAATAACTAAGAAATGGTAGTTTCCTCTTTGCCTTACTTCCTATAGTAACATGTACGCACGCACATACACACACATTTATATATATATATATATATATATATATATGTATTGGACAATAAAAAAAATCTAAAAAAATTAAAATCTTCAGACACACTGAGTTGTATATTAATATTCCTTCGTTTTTTTATATTTCATTTAGATTCCTCGACTAGTTTCGGCCAGCATGGCCATCATCTACAGAAAAGAAAAATCTGCTTGCTGGTAGCAGTAAACTACAGAAATTAATTTTTGTCTGTAGTTTGCATTTGTTTTTTGTTTTTGTTTTTTTAACATTAATTTTGGCCAGTCCTTGGTCAAACAATTTCTTTTAAATTGTTATTTAAGATAAGAGATGGATGGATTCATGCTGCCCTTAATTCCATATATATATATATATATATATATATATATATATATATAGTACATTTTAAGTTTGAGGTCTGGTAATTTTTAAATTGGCCCCAAAAGTATTGTGAGGAAATTATTATCGATTGTTAAAGAAAACGAGACATGATTTTTTGTTAGAAATTTTATTATGACAAAAAGAAAAAAAGCATATATATATACTAACTATATATATATATATATATATATATATATATATATATAGAGAGAGAGAGAGAGAGAGAGAGACACTATTTACATTCCAACCACCTGAAAAGGCTGGAGCGTACAACGCCCGAAACGTTGTGATAAACATGGCGACAAAAATGAGAACAATAGTCTGAATAATGTAAATAGTGTTATATATATATATATATATATATATATATATATATATATAACATTATTTATATTATATATATATATATATATATATATATATATATATATATGTAGAATATCTTCATATATACATATTCAATTATGTTTGGTTGAATAATCTAGATATATTATGCCTATGCATTATTATTTTAATCCTCTCAAATTCAAGGATGAATTTCTCATAGCTGTTAAACTAGATTGAGAAAGACACTGTGGTTTTGGTAATTTCTTTTATTTTCGCAAGTACTTTCAATATCATCCAAGATCATCTTCAGGAGTGAATTGGTAAGACAAAAATTAATGTAATGGAGATAGATAGATAGATAGAAAGAAAGAAAGAAAGAAAGAAAGAAAGAAAGAAAGAACAGACCAGACATATCTACGTAGGTAGATCAATAAGTCCTTATTTCCTTAAAAAATACTATATCCTTACCTAATTACTCCTCTTTCGAGTGTCTTAAATTGAAAAGTGAATATTAAATACATAGAG